CCCCTTTGTAATCCTTAACATTTTCATAAGTAACTGTAATTTAATTACATGTTTTTTCTCAGTAACTGTAACTGATTACAATTACTTTTATTTTGTAATTAAATTACGTAATTCCGTTACATGTAACTAGTTACTCCCCAACACTGCACATATACAATGATGTTGAATGACTACCTTGTTAATTTACCGTTGTATTCACATGGTATGTCCAGCATATGTCAAACAAGCCATTGTATTGCCATGGCACATACTCAATAAACATTGAATTACTAATAAAGTTGAGTACCCTTACTAAAGTACTGTGGCCGTACCATAGTAATGATTTGCTCACCCTTATTCTTTATAACAGAGTGTATATTTATTTACATATAAACTCTTAACTAAAATAACAGCACTGTTTTCAAGTTATACAGGTAAGAAATCTAGTGCACATTGGATTTTAATTGTTATTTTAAATAAAATGATTTAAAATAGTTTTATATTATTTTAATTAAATTATTATTTTTTATTATTAAAATAAATAATTAAAATTTTTAAATGAATTATATAATTAATTAATAAAATAAAATTATTAAAATACATTATTATGATTAATTTATATTATTTAATTAATTATTTAATTAATTAATTATTGTATTTATTTATTGAATAAATCCTCCTTTAACCCATTGTTTCTAAAGTGCATATTGGATATTTAATTAAGTTAAGTTATTTTATTTAATTGTTTTAATTATTTTATATAAAATTATTTAAAATATTTTGATTTAACTGTTTTAATACAATTATTTTAAATTATTTTATGTAATTGTTTAAATGATTTGTTATATTTAGTTATTTAAATGACCCTCCTTTATGAGTCTAACCCCATTGCTATGTATTATGTACGTTGGATTTCCTAGCTGCATAATTGTAACACAGTGTTGTTATTTCAGATCAAAGTTTCTTAGAGGATGACCCTACTACTTGCATCATATAAAATGAGAAACCAGCCCCACCATCCTGTGTGAGAGTCTCAGTAACCTGATTAGCCAGCCTGTCAGTAATAATAAGGCCAGGTCTTGGATCTAGGACCCATCGCTGCGTCAGCTTGGGTGAGATGACAAGAGAGACGTGGAGAGCTAACCACAACAGGAGACAAAGGAGTGAGTAACTTAAGATAAAGCAAAATCTGTGTGTTTCAAATGTTTTGTGCTTGCATGTGTGTTTTTCACTTTAGAGATGGTGATGTGGGCTGAGCAGATATTATTCTGTAGCATTTATAACGTAATATACTTTTGTACAAAAACATGTGATGTTAGTGTACTTTTTATGGTGTAAATTCAATAAGGAAAAATGGTTCCAAATAGTATCGGAACACTTCTTAGTGTTAAATGCTACTGTATTTTGTAGATTCCATATAGAAAATACATTTTAGAGCAGGAATAAAGACCTAAAACCATTATTGTTGTAAATAAAATTTTTAATAATTTAATTCAATTTAAAGTTGATTTTATTATTCAAATTAAATTATTTTTTATTTTTCTTATTTTATTCATAAATACAAATGTAATTATTTAATAAAGCGTAAAGACCTTAAACCTTAACACAAATAACTTTTTTCAGCATACTGTTCTAAACTTTAATAATCTAACAAAATGTAATAAAATTAGATTTAAATGATAATTTAATGAAAATTAAATTTAAAGTTTATTTTTATGATTTAAATAAATAAAATTTAAATAAATTGTATTATTTATTATTTATGCATGACTATTTTCTTATTTCAGTGTTTATTTTCTTATTAAATTCAATTATTTAGTCAACCGTAAAGACCATAAACCCTAAGGCTAAGAACTATTTCAAGATATTGTTCTAAATTTAACTTTAATAATCTAATAATAAAATAAACGTATTTAAATTAAACTTGAATAATTTAATGAAATTTACATTTAAAATGTATTTTATTATTTGAATTACATTATTACATTTTTATTTTATTATTTAAATGTTATAGTCAAGAGTAAAGACCTTAAACCCTGACACAAAGAACAATTTCAACATATTGTTCTACACTGAACTTTATTCATCTTAATAATTATTTCAATATTTTATTATAGCAAAAATATTTTTTTTAATAATTATTGTATTTAATTATTTTAAAAACCCTCCTTTAAGATATAACCCCATTGTTTCAGTTGATGTTATTTCGGGCTGTATTATGCACATTTTAATGTAAGCTGTTGATTGATTTGGGATCAATTGTTTTAGGCTGCAAGCTTCTGAGTTATGCACTGCAGAGAACCGGGGCCTCTATAGTGAGCGCGGTAGTTAGTCAGACAGACAGACAGGCAAGGAGAGGAAGGAAAGAGTCTTTTAAAAAAAACCATAGAGTTTCTTGGCAAGGGGAGGGCAGAGGAACACAAACTGTGGGTGGACCCCTGTGACAATGTAGATCAGGCACCTAAACCCTCCCTGGTTGAAAAACACTAGTACCATGAATGCTTACAGTTGTTAGTACTGCTGTAGATCCAGGAGGCTGCTAGTTTAAGTTTAATTCCATGGATAATACAGGCTTACGCTGAATAATACCAGGTGGACAAGGACTAGTAGTCTGCTTATTGCAGGTAAAGAGGATTCGTGTCCAGACCCCTGCTTTGCTGTTCCAGAGAGAAAAACCCGCAACGTCAAGCCAGGAATGTCCAATCCCACACCAGACACTCGGGCCCGTCCGGACCAGACTGAGAGTGATGGGTCGTCCGAACCGTCACCCCAGGCTGTGAGGAAGCCACCTGGGCATCTGAAGTTGGCACGCAGCCTTTCTAAATTAGACTGCGACCTGCTGGCTTCCCCTCATTGTGAGGACGACGGGCCTCTTGATGACAGGAGCGAATCCCGGTCCAACTGTGCTGCTGAGAGGAAGGAAATGGAGCAGATGCCCTCGTTTGCCTCCGAATGGGACGAGGTAAGAGCTGATGAACTAAGAGCAGAGGAGGGAGAACATGAGACTTCCTCCCACCAGAGCAGATATGTTAGTAGTTTTGATTTTACTCTGAAAGTTACTTTTAACACACACTACCATTCAAAAGTTTGGGGTCAGTATGATTTAGTTTTTTGAAAGAAATTAATGCTTTTATTCAGCAAGGATGCATTAAATTGATCAAAAGTGACATTAAAGACATTTATATTACAAAAGATTTTTGAAAAACTTGCTTTTATTTTAAACTTTCTATTCATCAAAGAAACCTGAAAAAAATGTGTTGCTGTTTTCAACAAAACTATGAAGCAGCACAACTGTTTTCAACATTGATACTAATAAGAAACGTTTGCGTGCTACAGTATGTCAGCCTTGTCCAAAATGAAAAAAAAATAAATAAAAATACAGCTTAAAATATATTTATACAGCTAAAAAAAAATACAACTATGCTAGCCAAGCAAAGTGATAGCATTTTGGAAAAGAATGCTTTAATTTATTTACTGAAAATGCAGATGCCCTCGTTTGCCTCCGAATGGGACGAGGTAAGAGCTGATGAACTAAGAGCAGAGGAGGGAGAACATGAGACTTCTTCCCACCAGAGCAGATATGTTAGTAGTTTTGATTTTACTCTGAAAGTTACTTTTAACACACACTACCATTCAAAAGTTTGGGGTCAGTATGATTTAGTTTTTTGAAAGAAATTAATGCTTTTATTCAGCAAGGATGCATTAAATTGATCAAAAGTGACATTAAAGACATTTATATTACAAAAGATTTTTGAAAAACTTGCTTTTATTTTAAACTTTCTATTCATCAAAGAAACCTGAAAAAAATGTGTTGCTGTTTTCAACAAAACTATGAAGCAGCACAACTGTTTTCAACATTGATACTAATAAGAAACGTTTGCGTGCTACAGTATGTCAGCCTTGTCCAAAATGAAAAAAAAAAATACAGCTTAAAATATATTTATACAGCTAAAAAAAAAATACAACTATGCTAGCCAAGTGAAGTGATAGCATTTTGGAAAAGAATGTTTTAATTTATTTACTGAAAATTACAGTTTCAGACCTCTCACTTTACCATAGCATAGTCATGTAACAATTTCATGTAATTAGTCTGTCTTTTTAGGAGTAATGCAATAACATAACATGTTACGTTTATAAAATTTATACCGGTATACCTACATTACTTTTCTTTTTATGTAATTTATTTTCAGACAAATGCATTTTCCTTCTTCCTTGTAACATTAGCGCAAAGGCCTACATAGTCATGTTAACTAAAGATGTTAAAAATTGATTTGCTAATTAAAATAAAGCTGAAATAAAATGAAATGAAATGTAAATATTAGATGAACATTTTTAAAGGTGACATATTATACCCCTTTCACAATGTGTAATATAAGTCTCTGGTGTCCCCAGAATGTGTCTGTGAAGTTTCAGCTCAAAATACTCCACAGTAATATTATAATGAGATCCCTTTGCCACGTCACCAAGTGAGCAAAATCAAACGCGCTCGTTTTCTCAGACGCTTGCAGAAAAAGGCTTCCCAAAACAAAGTTACTGGGTTAATCTTTTTCACGTTTCCTTGGTTGGTAGATGCACTGGGGACCTGATTATAGCACTTAAAACCTGGAAAAGTCAGATTTTCATGATATGTCACCTTTAAAAGAAAAAAATAAGAAAATTTAAAAGAAAAGAAAATTACAAATGTTTTCTCGGAATCTAACTGAAATAAAATAAGATGAAGAAAATAAAAAAAAAGTAATAAAAAAAAAACATAAGCACAAAATATTAATCAAATAATAATATTAATACAAATTAAACTAGAAAACTAATACAAAATAACATTGGTTCAGAACAAAACATGTGAGTAAAGGATGACAGAATTTACATTTTTGGTTGAACTATTGAGAGAGTGAGCCGAATAACAGTAACTGTCATGTTATTTTGCATAAAAAGTAACAATGTAACTTTTTGTTTCATTTTTAAAACTTTTATTATGGGCAGTGCATCAATGTAATGTGTTACTTTTAAAAGTAACATTCTCCAGCACTGGTTGTGGGTGGGAAAGAAGCTCTAGCAGTGCGTAAGGTTGAGGAGGAAGGGAGGGAGTCTTGACAGTATCAGTGCCAGTGGCTGAATGCTGAACGCTTGGCTGGGCCCATCAGTCCTTCTGCTGCTCTATGCTGGCCGCAGCGCACGGGGCTAATTGGGCCTTAACTGTCACTCCGCATCTTCTCAGGAAGCTTCCCAGGGGTCGGCCCACGCCGCACACACAGGCGCTCCACTCCCCTCGCCTCGCGCCAGAACTTTAGTCATCATCACTCCAAACAGTGCAGCGCTGCCTTCACACCTTGAGCTAATTACAGTGACAAACACGCATGTTGATTCAGTCACTGATCGCCATCAGCTGATACTGTTGTAACAATATCTTAACTAGACAAATGTATCCGTTTTTTTCAGTAAATAAGAAAAAGCTTTAAGCCACCTAAACTTGGACGTTACAGTGATTTTTGTTTTAACTTTTAAACCCTGTATTGCACTGCTTTGAGTGGCTTACATAAAACAGCAGCAGATTGCTAAGGTTTTATGGGTTATTGCTATAGGTATTTGTTTAGGTTTACAATCCATGATTGCTTGTGTCACGATCACCAGCTGGCGTGCCCTTGATAACCAGCAGAGGGCACTCCATCCCATACCTCTGTCACTCAGTCTTGGACTTCATTTCCCATAATACTTTGCCCGGACTTGTCAGTTCTCATTGTTTGCACCTGTGTCTGGTTTAGAGGTCTGCACAGGCTTTAAAGTGAAGCCCGAACCCGGCCCGTACCCGAGATCGTCTGACCCGACCCGTCCCGACCCGACCGGCAAAGTT